AAGGATGGAAAAGGAAAGGGGAGGGAACAAAAGAAAACTATATTTAAAGAAGATTCAGACCACAGAAGAATGAGGTGGCAGATGCAAAGACAGAGATTACTTCCAACTGACAAGTGTTTCATCACAGACTCACTCTTCAAGTTTTCTAACTTTTATAAGTTTGCTTTAGGACATCCACCTTTGTCGAAAGCCAGCACTGACTCATGAATGGGCCCAAATATGATATGCAGTGATGCAGCTTTATGGGTGATTAATTCACTCTCAAAAGGCTAAGCATCTGATCAGATTCCCTAAATGGCTGCTCCATCTCTCAGATGCGATACCACAAGTCCAGGTGAAACACAGGTCCCAAGGTACATTTCCGCTGTCTCTTGATCTTGCCAAGCATGTTCCAACTTGAGGTCCTCACACTGAATGTTTTTTCTGACTAAAAACCTATTCCCTCTGGCTGAGTTACTTTCTCATTGCTAAGACAAAATACTCAAAGTTAAAAGGGGAAACATTTATTTAGTTTACAGTTTGTAGAGGTTTCAGTCCATAATCCCATAATTGGCTGGCTCCAAGGCAGAGTAGCATGGCTGAGAGGCAATAGGTCATGGCAGCAGAAGGCAGCAACAGCAAGAGAGCATGAGGCAAGCCTCTTTATGTTTTTTATATTACATCCAGTCTACTGGGGTTGGGCTGATGCCAATCAAATCAGTGAACTGAACCAGCAGTCACCTACCCTTAACCCCCAGCATACTCAATTCCAGCATTGCACTACAAATCATACACTCTAGATTCAGCACCCTCTAAAAAGCCTGCCCCTATGACTGCATGATGCCTTGGGAGATGTCTAAACACAAGCCATAACACTTCCAAATGGCTTATTCCTTCACATTCTTATTAAGCCCTCTTACTTAAGGCTTTCCATGACTACCCTGTATAAAATAACATCACACCCCTACAATGTCTTACTCTGTTGTCTTTGCTGTTTAATTCTTCATAGCACTTACTGCCTGACATATGTATTTGCTTATCTGTTTATTTTTAGTCTCCTCTCACTAAACTCTCCATAATATTAGAAATTTCTTTACTCTTTGCATCTTGAATAGTGGCTGGCCAAGACAGGTTGCTCAATAAATATTTGCTGAAAAATGATTAAACTTCACAATTAGAACCTAAAAATCGTCACCCACCACAGCTGAAGTTCCACAAACGCACTTAGAATCAACACCGAAACTTGGTGATGACAAACCTCTTAGAGTCTTCTTCAGTGATACAAACATAGCACGCGTCCACAGATTCGCTACCACTGCCAAAACTCGAGCGCCAAAAGGCTACACAATTATTTTGTGAAAGAAAAAACTGTGGTGCAAGTTTTTTGTTTATCTTTGGGCCAAGCACCAATATATCTAATAAGTACAAATAAAGGAGATTTAATGGTAACATAAACTTGTACAGGCCACAGGACTCATTCAATGTTCATTGTATAAGATATTGTAAAACTTCAAATCTCACATACTATGCCTACCTTACTAAAATAAATTAATTTATTCATGTATTCATGTGACAAATATACAGTGTTTATGAAGTGTATGGTGTTGGATGAAGTGCTATATTTTATTTTTCATTTGAAAAATTGACTCTACACTTGACTATAAAACTCTCAGTCATTATAGATGAAAAAAAGCTCATCCTTTTGAAAATCCTTGTATTTTTCAATTATTTGTTATAAACCTTATTTATTTAGTTCAGAGATCCCTGAGAAAGTATTCATAAATAATCCATCAAGTGGAGTCTTTTATTCAGATAATTTAAAGGTAAACATTCCTCTCTTTTCACGAGCATAAGGAAGAACCATAGAATTTAACGACATTAAATACTCATTGTTACAAAAACTACCTAAGTAATTGTTGAGCTCTAATTACACAAGGCTAATTGGTTCCACTAAAATTTATGCTCTTTGAATACAGGAGTTCCTCAAAGTTGGGTCATAATTTCTTATCCATTCCAATGGTCTCACTGCTAGATTTTCACAATAAAAACAAGTTTTTGTCATTCTACTCTTGGCCTAAACCTGCCCACAGCTTTTCTGATTTTACCCAAAAGACTATAAGCCACTTTTTATCCCAACTCAAAATTCTTATGCTTCTTCTCAAAAGTTACACCTTCACCGAGTACCTTTCCATGATCTCGAAGACCTCCTCATTTAGCTTCCCCTTAAACTGTCAAATTCCTCTTCTTTGGAAAAGATTCTTATCTTAGGTTCCAACCCTTCTATACTAATTACATTCCTTCCCTCAATACATCTTTCTTTCTCCTTTGCATTCAACTTATGGAAAAGGAGATCCATTTTCACTTCTTGCCATTCTTTCAATTATTTGTTTTGTGTAGAATAAAAGCCCTATATCCCCATGCCTGGTGGTTTATTCCTTTTGGCCCCACAGGTCAATTTGCAAATGTCTTTTACTTCCATGTCTTCTGAAAAAATTAACTTTTAAGAGGACAAAAAATGGGAAAGAAAAGCACTGATACACTAAGTGAAGAAAAGGCATCCATGCCAAACAAATGGCTTGCTGCAGGCTACAGCAAAAGGTACAATCGTTTACCGGACTGAATCACAAATTCAAGCTGTATCATTAACCTTACCAGCCCAATCGAAACACCAGGCATTTCATTTAAAAAATTACCCTACTTACAGTAGAAACAAAATCACTAATTCCTGAGTCATAAATTTTGTTGTGGTATAATTACTTGTTCTCTAAACAGGTTATTTAACCTGCTAATCCCTAATATTCTTAAACTTTAAGAAATTTACATCTCTAGTTTTAACTTGCAAATATAAACAGGAAGACTTTAAAAACCTCTTAGGATACCTTTTAAATCCCAAAAGTACTTTTCTCAGAAAGAGATTTGGCAGAACCAATAAGAGAGTAAAGAACTAATATTCAAAATTCATTTTCATAAATCTATCCTTAAATCTTGGATGACATCCAATAACCTTATATTAAAATTTTAGAAGGCCTGACTTGAAGGATGTGGGAAATTTACTTTATGTTGGCAGCTTCCAGAACACCTGGCCTATATATCACCATTAATTAAGAAAAGATAAATGGAAAGAAAAAAATGTGGATAGCTCTAGTCTTATTATTTTCAATGTAACAATTATGTCATACAAGTTTTGCCAAAAAAAATACCCTAAATCTTTAATAAAGAAAAAGAAAAGAAACCTTTCTTGCCAATGTGTTGTTAATTTATTTCTATAGATTTGAATGCTACAGGCTTTTCAAAGAGGGCCAGGGCAGCCAGTGACAGCAATGCAGTAGAATTTAAAGTGTTATGACTAAAATGTGTCCTAAACAGGCTCATCTAGTCATGCGACATTCTAATAAAGAAGTACCAAGAGAGTGAGCATAAAGGTGCACTTATTTCTATGAATCCTGCAGGAGAAACAGTGACGGGGTGGGTGGGGGGAGTCCAGCTGCGATGGACACACAGGGATATGCCTTTCTATCTTTCTCTACCAAAGCCTAGCGTTATCACACAGAGACAATTAAAAACTCCAGACTCTGGATACGTTTGTGTCCTAGCTTCCAGGTGGAAGCCTGACATTTCATAAATTTCATATTAGTGTGCTACACTGGAGAGGAAAGCAGGGACTTTACTGCCGCGATCCCATCATCATGGGTCTTCGGAGATTTCAGTTCCGAACGACGGGCACCACCTAGCCATTGTGGAAGCCAGAATGCTACCAAGCAGCAGATTTAAAGTATCTTGTCTTCTAAGGAAAACACCCTGGCCAAGTGATGTTGGCCAAGGAGATCCCAGATATTTCTCAGTATGACCTTTTTTCCTTCATTTTTACCTCACTTCTTCCACATCTCTCCTCTTTTTAGAGTCCCCTCCCATCTATCTTTCCATGCACACCTCCAGAGTTCATTCTGAAATAAACCAACACTACCCATTCTTCAGCCGGAGGTTTTCAGCATTTAAATGTGCAAGGAAAAGGTTTAGCTGGCAATCAAAGTTGTGGAGAAGGGGCGAGAAAAGTGACCATTAAAGAAAGACCCTCCCCTTTAGAAGAGGTTAGACAAGGGATAAACAATACAATAGAAACTGCAGAGTCAGAGTCCGAGATCCTCGCGGAAAAGGGTCTTGGGGACACAAGTACAGGACGCAGGCTCCCTTCAAAACCTGGGACACCAGCAAGTCCAGAAAGTGCAACCATTATCCTGTTTCCTTGCTCTGTGCCCCAAAACGACAGCCCACTTCCACATCCCCACCTCAGGCGGCCAGAGAAAGAGGAAGCGAGAATCCCTACCCGGGGCCATCTGCAAGCAGGGGCAGAACAGAGACTGCACTCAGAGTTGCAGGCTCAAAATAACACTGTCCCACAGTGCTCGCTGGTGACATTAACTCAGGCTCCGGCAGACGTCTGGATCTGGGGCACAGTTTGGGGAGCGTGGATGCAACCACCCGCGTACGCACACTTGGAGATTTTACAAACCCGCCCCTACCCTACTGCTTCCGTCCACGCTCCGCACACCAAGTGCGTCCTGCCCACCTCGGGGTTTCCATCGTCACAGTCTTTCTCCGAGAGCCAGCTGCCAGCAGAGGGATTCTAGCAGGGATTCCTGGAAATTTCATCCCCCAGCACCTCAGGTCTGGGTCCGCTACCGCCATCCCTCTTGCTGTACCTTTTACACACACGCGAGCACACACACACACACACACATGCACTCCAGCCATGACTGTCATTAGGCCCGCTGGCTGCCCTCCAAGCCCGGCATCGCGGCGCGCACCGGACGCCAGGCATCTCTGCCACAACCCTTCCCCGGCCTCGCCGGCCACAGGCATTGCCCCCTGGATGTCGCCCTCTGGGCTGCGCCTCCTCACCATTGTTCCACGCAGCGCTTCTCGCGCCCGGGAGCGCCCTTCCCGGCGAGGACCAGGGCTCCGTCCCGGGCGGCACCGGCGCCGGGCACCCTCGCTCTCCCACCCCTCCCTGGCGATGGTACCTTGCCTGACAGCTGGGTCCGCGGGCCCGCGGAAGCAGGCGGCGCTAATGACAGCGACGGTGCCAAACCTGGGAATAAAGCTCCGCTCCAGCCGCTCCTACCTCCAGCGCCACCATCTTCTCCCACCGCTGCCGACACCGCCGACAGGACCGCAGCCGCCCTCGCCCAGCTCCGGCTCCGGCTCAGCAGCCGCCGCCTCCCGGGCCCCTCCGGCCCCGCGGCCCCACCCCCTCTCCACTCCCGCCCGCCCGCCGCTCGCCCTTGTGACGCGCTCGGGCCGGGCTGAGGGCGCGCGGGGGAGCGCGCACGCCGCGTGCTAGTAGCGCCCGTGCCGCCCACGCCCGCCCGCGCGCGCGCGCGGCGCGCAAGCCCCAGGCGGTGGCGCGAGTGTTCTGCGCCGCCCGCCGGCCGCAGCGCCCTGGCTTTTGCGCGGGTAGGAAGGCACTGGGTCCGCGGTTCTGGACCTCCGTCGCGCCCCTCCTGCTGGCCAAGGGAGAGGCAGACGCGGCGCGTCCCAGGGGACCACCCTCCTCGGCAGCTGCCCCGGGGGCCCCGGGTTCCTAACCGGCAGCTGTGGCCCACGTCTGCGTGGGAGAACTGGCCACGCTCCAGGACCACGAAGCCGGGCGGCCTCGTGAACTCCTGCGGCGCGTCTTCGCCTTAGTTACTCCGGGCTTTCCCGCCTTCCAGGCCCCAGAACTACTACTGCCTTGCACTTCCGAAAAGGAGGTGGAAGGACCGGGTCTCCGAAGTGCGCCGCACTCTGCGTTTCCGCCACAAGGGGGAGAGCCGCGCGGGTTTGGGCCAGAGAGGAGCGACCCAGGTTTGCATCTCTAGGGGACCTGCCCGGTCCCGCCCAGGAGAGCAGAAAGCCTCGGCGTATACTGCTGGAAAATGCTTGGCTTCATTTTCCTGCTCGCTTCCTCGGTTCTGCCCCATTAGAATTTAAAGTGTCCTTGAGCCCTGCAGAGGCCGTCTGCCCTAGACATGGCTTCTAGTTCGCGAGGGTGGATGGGGATCCTTTCAGCGGGGACCAGATGGCAAGTTCCCTGCGCTGATGAAAGCTGGGTGCTGGATGGTCCCCTGAGACCTGGGTTCTGGCGCCAGCCCCACCTGTAATCTTTGATATAGTACCCAATGATTTCCCCACTGGGGGATGGGTTTCTCAAGCATACTAATGATAATACTACTAATAATAACTGGCATACATATTCTCATCTAGTAAAACGAAGATAAGCATTGGTTATCCAGATCCTTGTGAAATGGTTGCTTACCACACAGTTTCCATATTATTTTAAGCACAATGCCTCCAGAAAAATCTGGGGGTGTAGCCTGAAGAATTTTGAAAATCTTTTTTAGCTTTAAAATTCATGGTTTTTTTTTTTCATTTCTACTCTATAATGAATTTTTCTTTAGTAAATTCTAAATATTATATACCAGGAAGATGCATCGTGTTTGTCCTGTGACGTTATCTTCTTTTTTAGCAGTAAACATATATTCAGCATATACAGAAGCCAGATATGGTCCTTGTTCCACCAGAGCTCATGGGCACTAGAGGGAATATTGATTAGTCAGACTAATTAAGAACAACTGTAAATGTGCTAACAGTGAACAGGGAAAGCGAAAACTCCAGGACTAGGTAAGGCTTGTTTGTTTAGCAGTAAGGCATTGAACCCAGGGCCTTCTCACTGAGCTACATCCCCAGTCACTTACTCATTTCTTTATACTTTGAGACAGACCCTTGCTACGTTGCCCAGGCTGGGCTCCAACTTGTGATCCTACTGCCTCAGCTTCCCAGAGTGCTGGGATCCTGCACCACCATGACACCTAAGGTAATCTTTCTAAGGAAATGACATTGCACACTAACAGAAGCAGCAGCAGTGAGACCTTCCAGATAGAGGGAAGGAAATGTGAAATGACCCAAGCAGGCAAGGATTAAAGGAAGAAGAGCCTGGTCAACAGGCAGGAGATAGAATGGTGACCTGTGGGCCATTTTAAGTAAGGATTTTATCTCATGGACCTAGAAAGACACAAAGATTACAAATTGTGTGTGAGCAAACAGGATGGTATTTCTGTCCCTGAAAGGTTGCCTGAAGTAATTCTGTGAAATGCTGATTTATGAAGGATTGGGGTCCAGGGCCAGAAAGTGAGGCTCATCACATCGTTCTATCTATTGTAGCGTTTAAGGGCTGCAATATGAACTCTAACAGTCTTGATGCATTTCTTACCTCTGCCTTCCCAAGAGCCCACTTTGGAAAGATATATGTCATAGTTTTTCTGTAGTAATTTGATTGCTTTTGATCTACTGTAACTTTAAAGGAAAATTAATGATCTTTATTAGAATTTTAGGTTACGTAAGAGGATAGAGGTCCTAAATGAGAGGCTCTTTTCTGTGTACCAGTATACACTTGCTGCCCTCTGGTTTGCTGTCTTGGGGTTCTTTGGGCATATTTTCTATTTGTTGTGTTCCCTGTTAGACAGGATCCCTCGATTCATGAGTGAGAGATATATTATTTTTTGTTACATTATTGTTTTAATAATACTCTCAAATTTTACCTCACAGTACTTTAATGCTTTTATAACTATCTTAGTTCATTAAAAAGAAAGTTCTGTGTTACTGTGTTTCTTTTTCTGTAAGAATCTTTATGGACTGTGTCTTGCACTCTGAGTAACTACTTTGAAGACAGTGATACACAGTGTAATAACTATTGTTATTCTCTTAGTATTTGGTCATGAAGTTTTATTTTTTCATAAAACAAGAAATAAAATACCATTTGAAGTATTAAGTGACACCTAAAGGAAAATAATTGTTCTAATGACATTTTAGAGGCCTCTGAAAGTAGTTATCAAATATTTGTATACAGAAATCCCCACTCCCTATTTCTTTTGCACCATGTAAAACATTGTTTTAAGTGTTCCTGTTACTCGCTGTACCTTGGCTGGAAGAAAATTAAAAGTCAAATTTGTAGTTCATTGTAGGAAATGGGGAGGAATAAGACATTCATATCTTTATTTTACCCTCCTTTCATCTGTATTCTGTGGCTTTCTTATGCCTGTTTTATGGCTATTTTTCTATTTTATTACAGATAGTCTTTTAAGGCACTTCAAATATTTTTATCCCCACTTACCCTTATTAACAAGGATCAAAATTGCTACTTAGTGTTTGAAAAGGCAGTATATAAAATATTGGAAGCCTGCCCACCATTATAGCAGGTAATAATACTACACACACAGTGCCCACAACATACCCACCTTGTCCACCACTGTGTATGGATCAGAAGTCTCTGTGCATACCACTTTAAAGCTACACAGTGGAGGCATACTTGAGTACGTCTCCCACTGGCTCATAGATAGATTCTGTTATGGTTTGAGCCTGGATCACCCCATGAGCCTCATGCAGTAGGGGAGTTGGGCTTCTAGAGTTTGTGAATGACTCATGGTACAATGCTGGGATTATGAGTGTGAGTGCCATGCCCAAGTGGATGTGGCCTACATAAAATATAAGGGACAGAAAGAGTCTTCTCTCTGTGCTCCTCCTCTTTTCCTCTTGTTGCTTGTGCTGTTTTCTACCACCATGAACTGTTGCCCTCTGCCATGTGCCATTCTTCTTTGGAGCCAGCTGATTATGGACTGAAACCTCCACAAACTGTGAGCTAAATAAACCCTTCCTTCCCTCACTTTGGGTGTCAGATATTTTGTCACAGCAAAGAGAGAAAAGCAATCAAGACAGCTTCTTTTCAGGAAAAGCTAGAGGTCTCAAACTTAAACCAGTGTACCTTGTACTTATAAATACATCTTATTGGTGCAAACATTATTTGTCATGGGGTAAGAGAGAACAGATCCATGAACTTGTATTCTTCTAGGTTTCTTTTTGTTAGCAAAGCCTTGAAGACTCACTGAACTTCAAACCCTACAAGAAAGTGGCCATATAATTCAGCTTCTGAGGTAGTTCTGGATAGTCGAAATCAGGGATTCCTTTTCTGCTAATAGTAGGCACATCCCTTTGTTTGAGTTCTTTAACAAGTTCTTTTTCTCTCTCAATCCTTCAGTTTGAAGCTTGTGGGCTGCGGTCACATGTAGGACAAATACACATTTCGACAGCAACCTTTGGTAATGAGATCTTTCTTGATTTCAGCTCTGCTAATATTTGATGGTCCAGCATGCTATCTATTGTTCTGTATCTAGCCATTTTGTCATAGTATTTAAAATGTGGAAAGAAAGATGGAATTACGAAGTGGGTGAAGCAAATTTCAATGTTTGATTTTTATATCAACATTTTTATTTTAGGGGCTGGGGATTTAGCTCAGCGGCATAAGTACCTGCCTTGCAAGCAGGCGGTCGTGAGTTCGATCCCTGGTACCGATAAAAAATGAAAAAGACAAAAAAAAAAAAAAAAAACATTTTTATTTTAGCAGCTATTCCTCTAGAATATAAAGTTTATCCTGATTACAATAAGTTTCCTTTTTTCTGCCTTCTTAGAAATGGTTTTATCTCCCTACATAAACCATCCTCCATGGCCAGGGACATAGAAGTCATGGCTAGCCTGAGCAAGTCAGCTCCCAGTTCTAGAACTGGATCAGTACCCACCCCCCAAACCCGCGGTTTCCAAGGATAGAGCAAGAGCATGATATGGATTTCACAAGAAGCAGAACTTGGACAGAGGGGAACAAAAACATCCACTGTCCTGTTCATTTTAGTCTTAAAATAATGAAAAATAGGAAACTTTTATTAATGCACCATCATAAGACTATTATCTTGTTTTAAAGTTCTGTATCATTGCATTGTTTTGTTTTGTTTGATTTTATTACATCTGATGGTATGGGCAGTTATTTTGACTATAACAAGATATATTATGGTAGCCATTGATTTCCTATGATCTTGTTTTGAAGTGCTGTATCACTTTCATTGTTTTGTTTTGATTGGCTTTATCTATTTTACTTTGTTTGGTTTTATTCTCTTTAAAATAAAATTTTAAAAAGTTCTAAAAATGCACAGAATAAAGTACATCAAAATGTCAACACAGTAGTAGTTCACTAAAGTAGTAGGGTTATTTTCTTTATGTGGTCTAGTTGTTCAAAAAACTTAACAATGGTCTTAATTTGAAAAGAAAACCAAGATTATTAAAACATGACTGTACAAAGTAGCACTGTTACCATCAGGTGCCGTAACAATAACCGTTTTTGCATTTGTAAAGCATTTTTTTAAGTTTGATTAA